AGAAGTAATATTCGAGTTATTACCCCGTACTGAAACTTAACTTTCATTTTAATGATGTTTTAAAGTTTTTCCCAGCGTCAGATACAGAGAGTAATCAGTCATTGAGCTTTACTTGTCTATTTTTAGTTTTTCTTGCTTACTCTCTGAATCCCTGTGGACTGGGGGTAGGGTGTTTAGTGGTGAGAAAAACAGAATCAAAACGCTATTAGTGAGAATGAAATCCGTTAATTTATTTAAATAAGGCTTAAGCTACGTTACTTGCTGAGGTTTTTTCCGCGGCTAATAATCAAGAACAGCATATAGTATTCCTGAACTGGACTAACCCCCATTAACTAAATATAAAACGAACATCAAGTCCTTGGCCACTTCGTTTCTATAGAACACATCAGTGAACATATTCTACAGGGTGTCCAAAAAGTGTAGAACCATTGGTCATTTGCAGCTTTTCTTAATTGTAGATACGTTACTGATTATGGTGCTGTCAAAGTATGCAAAGGTAGACTTAATCTTGCTGTCAAACCAAACCTGTTTCGGGTTACAAGGACAGCATGTAAAACTCGTTGAAGTGTCTATGGTTCCGGACATCCTGTATTAACGTCCCTTCTATTGTGTCAATGTACGAGACAGTAAAGAATGAAAAAATAAAGCCACAAAATTCTCTGCTCGTAATACCTAATAACGTCAAGATGTCCATTTCTAGCCGCTAGATGAAGACAGGTGGTACGGTCATTGTCGACAGTGTCTTGGGGACTCTCTTCAAGTAACGAATGACATCGTCCAGACTGGAGTAGAAGTTCAACAACCTAGGAAATTCAAAATTATATTGAATAATCATACCCCCAATGTGAATGTTTGATATATCAAAACATTATCTTAAAACGTGCAGTGAAACAAATAAAAATAACTGTAATGTTAGGTTTCATGTGAGAAATGCGCCGTCGGCAATGCTATGATGGACATAGTTTGGTTGAAATACTGTTATATACTCTTCTTAGGGAAATCCTAAGGGACTGAATAAAGAATTTAGTGTTAACAAACAAAATAAGTTTACTGTCTTATGACAAGTTTAGTAAATATTAACGTTATCATAACGTTTCGCCATTTTAGAAAAGGCGTTCACACCATAATAAGTGTGAATGGTTAAAAAACGTGTTTTACATGTGAGAAGCTAAGTGTGTGTGTGGAAAGTCCCCAACAAACTATATATATATATATATATATATATACTTGTTGGATAACATACAAGGAAATTCATTATTTTTAGCATAATCCAATACAAAATTCTGTAAAATACTCTACTTTCAGAACAGTCTGAATTTCACGTTTCTGTAAAATACTCTACTTTCAAAACAGTCTGAATTTCACGTTTCTGTAAAATACTCTACTTTCAGAACAGTTCTGAATTTCACGTTTCTGTAAAATACTCTACTTTCAGAACAGTCTGAATTTCACGTCTGGCCAGCGTTGTTGTTTATTACAAATATAACAACATTCTACAGGAAGAGGGGTTGAGGGTTCATCAGATGTGTATTTTATTCCTGTAAAAATGGTGTATGAGTTGGTGTTGTTTTATTAGGGCAAGGCAATAAAATATATAACCTGAACTTTGTCTGCGGCGGGGAATCGAGCCCCCGATTTTATAGTTGCAAGTCCGTAAACTTACCACTAACCAACAGTGAATCAAAAATAATGTAACACTTGTCCAAATGTATATAAGTCCAAATTTGAAAATTAAAATACAAGATATAAATGTTGTTTAATTTTTTTTCTCTGAAGCACAGTTTATTGTTTGGTTGTTTGTTTAAAGTTAAGCACAAAGCTACGCAATGGGCTATCTGTGCTCTGCCCACCACAGGTATCGAAACCCGCTTTCTAGCGTTGTAAGTCCGCAGACATACCGCTGTGCTACTGGAGGGGCGCACAGTTTAAAATGATTAACTGTAACGATTTTTGTTGTTGTTATATTTCTTGTTACTTACACCAGTTGTCCTTTAAGCACTTGATGTTTATGATTCTATTAACATTACGATCAGATTTTTATAAACGAAAACAAAACCCAAAGATAAAACACGGATTTTGTTTATTCAATATTAATTTACCTAGATGGCACCACCGACAATTGCAAAATAGCAACAGCACAATACTTTTTTTTGCTCTTTTTGGCAGTATGTACAAATGGAGTAAATATTACTTGCAATTTTATTGAAAATGTTGGTAATTAACACTAAAATAGATTTCTTTATTTTCTGAATAAGGCAGTGAGACTATACAGAATTGAAAGCATAACAGATTAAACATAACAATGGAAACCAAAAAAGGATAGAAAATAAATAAATAAAATGTTACGCACCTTAAATTTGCCAAATTCACAGGCTAAATCTAGAGGTGTTTTGTATTCGTGATTCCGTTGACTTACGTTGGAGCTGTGGCTCAGTAACTCGTTGGTCTACGAAATGGTTAATGAAACAAACAAAAAAAATCAGTAGTTAAATTATGATCTTTATTAAACAACAATTTAAAACTTACTGAATTTCAATATAAACAGGCGATTAGGTGTGAACACTGTGCTTTTTATTAGATTACCGTTTAAATCTTCATATTTAAAAATTAAACATGCTAACTGGGTATGAACACTGTATGCTGTTTGTTAGATTACTGTTTAAATTTTTACATTTTAAAATATAACATGCTGATTGAGTGTGAACACTGTGTCCTGTTATTTTCATATTTAAAAATAAAACATGCCGATTGGGTGTAAAAATCGTGCTGTTTACAAGGCTACATTCTAAACTTCTTCAACTGTACATAAACCATGCTGATTATTTGGAGCTTTAGAGCCAGAAGAAATGTAGTCCTGTTATCTAAGTTGAATATCAACAGAAAAAAAACTAGCGTGCGTGGAATTCTTAGCTACAAAAATCATAATAAATAAAATGTGGACAAAGTTATTTTTTTTCTTATTATGAAATGGACAATTCAACCAGCTAACAAAACTGTTACGATAAAAAAAAACCGCCAAAACGTTTAGTTACCACGTCCACGTGACCATGTTGACAAGCCAGGTGTAGGGGAGTCTCCTGGTGGTTGGCTTGTTCATTAACGGAAGAATTGTACTGGAGAAGTAGAGACACTGGTTCCAGTTTTCCCTGCCAAGCTGCATAGTGGAGTGGTCTCATGCCTAGAAACATAAACTTTACTATTAACAAATCCTAAACGAAAAATTATAAATAAATAGCCTTGTTAAATAAAAAGAACACAGCGCTTAGTACAAAGAAAACTAAATCACCTAACGCAAGTCAAACTGCTTTGACGCATCTCACAATACTACATTTTTAACATATTCACGCAGAAACTCTCTTAACAATACATCCTTAACACATTCACGCAGATACTCTCTTAACAATACATCCTTAACACATTCACGCAGAAACTCTCTTAACAATACATCCTTAACATATTCACGCAGATACTCTCTTAACAATACATCCTTAACACATTTATTGTTAAGGGAGTATCTGCGTGAATGTGTTAAGGATGTATTGTTAAGAGAGTTTCTGCGTGAATGTGTTAAGGATGTATTGTTAAGAGAGTTTCTGCGTGAATATGTTAAAGATGTATTGTTAAGAGAGTATCTGCGTGAATATGTTAAAGATGTATTGTTAAGAGAGTTTCTGCGTGAATGTGTTAAAGATGTATTGTTAAGAGAGTTTCTGCGTGAATGTGTTAAGGATGTATTGTTAAGAGAGTATCTGCGTGAATATGTTAAAGATGTATTGTTAAGAGAGTATCTGCGTGAATATGTTAAAGATGTATTGTTAAGAGAGTATCTGCGTGAATATGTTAAAGATGTATTGTTAAGAGAGTATCTGCGTGAATGTGTTAAGGATGTATTGTTAAGAGAGTATCTGCGTGAATGTGTTAAGGATGTATTGTTAAGAGAGTATCTGCGTGTATCTTTAGCACCTTTTAATAATACACCCGCAGCATTCACGCAAATACTCTTTTAATAATAGATCCTTAACACCTTTAGGCATTATTTTAATAAAACACCTATAACATTCACGCAGATACACTATTAGCATAAACAGATTGGAACAAATTGGAAAGGCACCGCTTCGTTGACATAAAAATGTTTTTATAGTGAGTTAACAATGTTGTAATGGGGTGAACGTCTTTTACCAGATGGCGCAGCATGATTATAATTAATTATATTTGTCATGAGACATTATGTTAGGCCTATTATATTTTTGAACACTACATTCTTAATCTAGTCCCTTAATAATAGTATTTCAACCACAGTATGTTCGTCATATCCTTTGCCGACGACGTGTTTCACTCAATCCAGAACTCTTCAAGCCGGCTGGGATATAGTGGCTAATAGCCATAAGCTTGTAAGATTTGCTCAGTACTCACTGGCTACTTATGTACGGATTTGTGTATGGTATTGTGTATTTATCCTTGCCTTGTTTCTGTACTTTTTGGCATTGTCATCCCTACATCATACTTACTTTTTGCAAATGTCTTTTTATTACTTATTTCCGTTCGTTTTTTAAAGAAGTTCGTTAAAGTAGGTTGATGGGTGAATATTTGTTTTACTTTTATAATTCAATGGTAATATATATATTGTTAATATTACACCAATTTCTCTAACTTTGGATTACACTTGGGCCAGTGAAGCAGGAATGGTTCCTCCAGGATGGTACAAGTACCCAGAGCGCTAGACTGACGTTAAGGGGACATTTACCGAACCCACGCCTTCCAACTTCACCCCAACTCACTGCAAGTACATCCAATCCTTTCCACGACATGCTAGGGTCATGTCGATTAATGGGGTGGATATACAGATCCCAGGCCATGAAGTATAATACCATGCATACACACACACAGCTGCCACTAAAAATTTGAAGAAAAGTAGACTACTATATAATGCATTGTTTTGATAATTAAGAAACTGGTGTTTTTAAACTCAGACATCAATAACACGTACACAAATCTGTTTGTTGCAGAAATACTTGATCTCCTTGATACCTTGAATATTAATTTAGATTATTATTTATTTATTTTTACTGAAACTGTTTTGACAGATATCATGTTTATGAATGAAAAGTCACAAACCATCGTTATATAAGAACAATTTGTGCTGCCGTCTACCTACCAGAAATGAAACTGTTATTTATGAAACGTGGAAATAATAGATGCTTACAAACTGAACTCACTGCTATGTAATAGTTTTCCTTTTTTTACTATTGCCACACAAAAATACGTGTGGTAGAAGAAGAGAATAATATTACTGTTATACAAGCTGTGAAATACTCGATAATGGCAATTAGGTGCTTAAATAAGACTATAACTCAACTTTAGCAGTTATCTGTACGCATCACAGAGTAACAGATTGAATGCGGTAGCCATTTTTTCTCGGCCAATCTCTACATAATAAGCAATACCGTGCTTAGTGATTATCACCATGATGTAAATTATCTTGTTAAATATAAAACAATTTTCTAAACAATAACCGTCAGTGATTTTGGACAATGCTTCTAATATATTATCTAAATATAATTTACTCATACTAGTTTAAATAAAACATACTAGAAGCTATAAACTGACTTCATCGTTTGTATTTTTCAACGTGAAACAAAACTTTTATACTAAAATAATTTATTAGAATACAGTGATGAATATCTCTACGTACCTAGTGCTATTTAAAACAGTTCTTGTTGTCATTCTTTAAGTTATAATAAAATACAAATCACCTTTATTGTCCTTGATGTCCACGTGAGCTCCATTTTCCAGAAGGAGCTGCATGATTGCAGTTTCACCCATCAGTGCCGCCTGATGAAGACCCGACATGCTAGAACAAAAGGTAGCTGTTAGATCGCATCTTTTAGTTTTATTTTAAGATCTTAAATACAGTTTTTAAAAAAAAACAATAACAACAAACTAATCATAAAGCTAAAAGACTTTTTACGCATAAAAGATACAATACAGAATATTTTCCAGTTACAAACAATGCTTAACAATATTTTCCAGTTGAAAATAACGTCAAACACTATTTCATTAAAACCTTTTCATTGTCCGTTTTGTGTAAGTATCTGTTCAAGCTTTTGAACAAAGTCATTGGTCTTTCACGTTACAAAAGCAAACAAGAAAAAAAACTACCCTTGTGCAGGAAAATAAGCGGAACAAAAATGACCTCGTTCTTTTCTCTATTTGATGAGTTTCCGCACATAAGTAGTTTGAGGACGAAGAAACAAAATCTCTTTGAAGAACAGGCCTACCTAAAATCTGTGGTTGTCCCTAGAGCTGTAAGACATTTTAAAAAGAGACTTCAATGACAACCGACAAGCTGGAGATTTGACGCCCTGCATCCACTCAGTTTGCTGCCGCCATCTCTTGACTGCTCAGTTAAAAATACGGTACTCTTTTTTTTTAAGTCATTCTTTTAAAGAAAGTAAGCTTCCTAGCCATTTCACATTGCATGTGTTCTATTCGCGGTGACATTACCGAAACTAGTAATCATATATTTAGTTGTGAGCCCATATTATCATTTTTAAAAATAAGCAAACAGTTCGAATGTTGCTACAAAAAGTTTCCACCAATAATGTCCCGCCTAGTAGACGATCATTTATTGGCGCAGAATTTTATACTTCTATGACCTACACGTGCAAATAGCACCTTCTATAAGTCTTAATTTTATACTTCTATGACCTACACGTGCAAACAGCACCTTCTATAAGTCTTAATTTTATACCTCTTTGACCTACACGTGCAAACAGCACCTTCTATAAGTCTTAAGTTTATACTTCTATGACCTACACGTGTAAACAGCACCTTCTATAAGTCTTAAGTTTATACTTCTATGACCGACGCGTGTAAACAGCACCTTCTATAAGTCTTAAGTTTATACTTCTATGACCTACACGTGTAAACAGCACCTTCTAAAAGTCTTAAGTTTATACTTCTATGACCTACACGTGTAAACAGCATCTTCTAAAAGTCTTAAGTTTATACTTCTATGACCGACGCGTGAAAACAGCACCTTCTATAAGTCTTAAGTTTATACTTCTATGACCGACGCGTGTAAACAGCACCTTCTATAAGTCTTAAGTTTATACTTCTATGACCGACACGTGTAAACAGCACCTTCTAAAAGTCTTAAGTTTATACTTCTATGACCGACGCGTGAAAACAGCACCTTCTATAAGTCTTAAGTTTATACTTCTATGACCAACGTGTGTAAACAGCACCTTCTACAAGTCTTAAGTTTATACTTCTATGACCTACACGTGTAAACAGCACCTTCTAAAAGTCTTAAGTTTATACTTCTATGACCTACACGTGTAAACAGCACCTTCTATAAGTCTTAACATAAAAAAAAGGATTTGCTAGGTTCTAGTGGAATTTATACTCTGGAAAAAGTTCCAGCGTACAATTATTTGAAGGAAAATAAAGAATAATCATAACTATGCACAACCTTAATGACTTTTAAATCATTAACGATTAACGGCCATCATACGATCTGGTTTACTAATACACCGGGAAAGTTACTCAAACAATCGTTTGTATTTCTATATAACTTACGAAAAAAGTGACAGAAAACGTGAAAAGTTCCAGTTTATAAAACTAGATATTTCCTTCTAACATTAATGAACAAAATGCTTTTAATAAAGTTTATCAAGGACAAAAAAACTGTCAATCTGAGTTAGTCCCCAAATAATATTTTAAGTTACAACTATATTTTTTTTCGCTTCAGACTGTAATGCTAACATCTCAGTAGTCAGTCTTATATGCTTTGTTTTTTGAATTTTTAAAAGTAATTTTTAGATTGATTTATTTAATGTTGCTGTATTTTTTTATTCTACAGTACCAAAATAACTGCTTACGAAAATATAACAATATGCACAGTTAGTTTTATAGACTTTTATGTGTTGGTTCACGAGCCGCGGATCAGAGGTCCAAGGTTAGAACCTCAATATGCTGTTGAATGTGCTTCAACTTACAGCTGTAACAGTCCATTCAGCTATTTGGTTAAGAATTGTCGTGTAGTAGGCGAATGTTGTCTACTGGTTGCCCTTTCTCTTGTTAGCAAAAATAAATTAGGAATGGCTTCACCTTAACCTTAGATGTCTTTAATCTGTCAGTTTAATCCGTGTGTTGTATATGGCGCCGTTCAGGTTTAAAATATCAATACCACAAAACGCTAAACAGGGATATACATGAGACACAGATATAAATAGAAAGAAACAAAATACAAATACAAAACGTATATAGACAGAGCAATAAGATCTAGTCGAAAAGCAAAAAAATAAAAAAAACATTACCGATCAGTTTGTTTGGTTTGAATTTCGCACAAGGCCACCCCTAATCTAGCTGTGAAAGGTAGATAGTCATCACCACTCACTAACTGGGATTGACCGTCTTATTATAACGGCGACCCTCAGATTGCGAGTCGAGCGCCTTAACCACTTGGCCATGAATAAATACAATGAACATTAGATGTGAAAGATACAAACACTGAACGCAGGCTACGTTTAAAAATCAATCCTTATTAGATATAAAATTATATCTGACACGATACTTAATATACAACAGTTGGTGTTATTGTAAATCCTCTGTAAAGTGAACGTTAAAGTAAAACAAATTCTCGTTCATCGGCCGAGTTTCCATTTGAATACCTCTAGCAATAAACCTTTATAATAAAGATGAACTTGAAACTTTTTAAAATTAAAACACCGACTTGCAAAGTTCAATTTTAACCACTAATATTACTTTATAAACATAATGAACAAAGTACGTATTGTTTGTCCACGACCTCCGTGAATCTAAGCACCTTTTTTTTTCAGTGTTTTTTTATATATTAGACTGGAAAAAGGCTTTGACACTCTCCACAATGGTGTGCTGTTTTCATCACAATAATGACAGTACAACACTCTCGTGAATCAAGTTCATTGTCATGCACGTGATCGCTTGCTTGCCCGCAACACTTGTGATTAGTACCATCCATTGTTCAAACAGAGGCCAATCCACGCCCATTACACCGGTGCGACCTCTGGTGAACAGAAACGTATGCGTGTGGGAAATATCAATTTTGGTATTCATGTGTGTGAGAAGATTTCATTATTTAAGAGCTTTAGAATTTCTTCCTGTCCTGCGAGGTGTTACACGAGAGCATTTCCATTGATGAAACAGGGGCAACAGTCTATAATTAACGACTTAAAACATAGTACATTACCCATCACATATGTAATGTTCTTAAACCCTGAGGTATCTTGCAAAAGCGTTTGTAAGCGATAAAAAAAAAAAGGCTTACTTCCGCGGCGTTGTTCCTTATTCAGGTATACGGGCGGTGTCATCAAGACACACTAAATATATCCTAAAGAATATGCATAAACAGGAACAGGCTAAAATTTTCAGTGCATAAAAAAATAAAACAAGGGGATCATAATCAAAACATGATTACTTACCCATGTGCTCTAAATAAACCCACATGGAAAAAACAGATAAAATATGACTGTTATGTCATAAAAATAAACACGAGTAAATACATCAAACTAGTCACTGAATCGGATAGATACTGTAATTTGGCTGTATTTGAAATTAATTACACGTAAAAAAACAAACTCACACACTGATAAAGAGATATATAATAGCCGCTCATAATGCACAACATTTAAAATTTTACGTCCGTTCCTTAGCACTCTTCTAAAAGTTCACTACGCTATGTTTCCTAGTGCATGTCTAAAAGTTCACTACGCTGTTTCCTAGTGCATGTCTAAAATTTCACTACATTCTGTTTCCTAGTGCATGTCTAAAATTTCACTACCCTCTGTTTCCTAGGGCATGTCTAAAATTTCACAACGCTATGTTTCCTAGTGCATGTCTAAAATTTCATTACACTGTTTCCTAGTGCATGTCTAAAATTTCACTACACAAAACAGACTAGGATGAACTTTTAAAAGTGCTCTAAGAAACAGACTGGGATGAACTTTTAGAAGTGCTCTAAGAAACAGACTGGGATGAACTTTTAGAAGTGCTCTAAGAAACAGACTGGGATGAACTTTTAGAAGTGTTCTGAGAAACAAACTGGGTGAACTTTTACAAGTGTTTTAAGAAACAGACTAGGGTAAACTTACTTTTAGAAGTGCTCTAAGAAACAGACAGTGGTAAACTTACTTTTGGAAGTGCTCTGAGAAACAGACTGGGACAAACTTTTAGAAGTGTTCTAAGAAACAAACTGAGGTGAAATTTTAGACATGCACTAGGAAACAGAGTGTAGTGAAATTTTAGACATGCACTAGGAAACAGTGTAATGAAATTTTAGACATGCACTAGGAAACAGATTAGAGTACTTCTAAAAGTAAGTTTACCACAGTCTGTTTCTTAAGACACCTCTTAAAATCATCGGTTCCTGCAAGTTCCGTTGTTGTTGTGTTTTTTTTATTGTTTTTTTTCTGTCTTGTGTTTCATCAGTTTAAAAATCCCTAGAGAATTAGATACCACAAGTATAATTATCCTCGTCTTGCGAGGGTATCGCAATCTCTCTGATTTATCTTCTTATAATTATGTTTCGCCAGCTTGTAAACGGCGTTCACACCATATCAAAAGATTGGCAGTGTTGGATTGAGAATGTTGCTCGGAATCCCACGTGTCTGTGATTCCTATACAAATATACATGAATGTCGAAACTGATTTATCTTACTGGGTGAAATATTGGGTAATTGTGATTCTTTATAGACAAGATTTTTCTGGGCACTTCTCCTCCTACCCCCGAAAACTATAAATTAGAGCAAACTTTAGAAGCACAAACAATTAAAATCGAACATAAGTAAATAAGAGCAATCAGAGAGATTG